ACCTCCTCCCTGGGTGACAGACAACAGAAAAGTGGGTGAAGGGAGACGTCAGACAGGGCAAGATATGACAAAATAATAATTTATAAATTATCAAGAGTTTAGAGGGAGGGGAGAGTAGGGAGGGAGGGGAAAAATGAGGAGCTGATGCCAGGGGCTTAGGTGGAGAGCAAATATTTTGAGACTGATGAGGGCAATGAATGTACAAATGTGCTTTGCACAACTGATGTACGTGTGGTTTGTGATAAGAGTTGCATGAGCCTCTAATAAAACAATTTTAAAAAATGACACCAATACCAAAACATGCTCATGACGTAGAGTGAAGCAGAGAGCTGGTGGTTCAGGATGGCCAGAACTCTGGTCAGTATTTTAAATAGGCATATTCTAAAAGATTTCAAAGCAACCCACTAGTGTCACACAAAGTTTTAGAACTCCAGCAGTAGTTAAACTGATGTTCGAGCTCTGGTCCTGTCATTAAGAGTTTCATTTCCTATCTACTTTGAGGATGGAATGAATCCAAATACGTTTGGTGCTTGGTATAGTGCCTGGGATATAAGAGCTTTGTCAACTAGGTTGCTGCTGGGTAATGGCTATGTAAGGATGACATTATTTTAATTGCCAGCCACCTCCCATCGTACCTAGAAGCAGGAAGCAACTTTGAGGTTCTACTGCATTCCAGGCAAAGCCCTTGAGACTTGACCCTGGGTCCTGCAAGAAGCCTGCCCACAGATCCCCAGGCTGGTCCAGGAGACCCTCATGTCTGTTCCCATCTTGTTGTGAGTCACCAAGTTGCAATGAAGTGATCTGTGCACATCCTGTCCCTCCCTCCCCACCCGCACTGTCTGTTTAGCACCTGTAGGGTTCTAGCACAGGTTGCAGGGACTCATTCTCCCTGCGGTTCATGGCGGCCAGTGGGATAGCATTACCTGTAGCAGAGGGAAACCCGAGAGGACGCTGGGTTGGAACTCTTCAGCCATTAAGATGACTTCAAGGAGCTGCACATCAGCCCAACTCAGTCGATTGCCCACAAGAAAATCTTGCCCGTGCGCTTTTAGTGCCTGTGTGGTTGTTGAGAGGGGAAAGTAGAGGAGTCAGGACCATACCTAGCACGTGATTTAAATTTGGCATAGTTTGACAGCAAGCCCGCTAACAATCAAGAGATCTGGTTTCTCATCTTGTTTGGCCACTGGCGTGCTGTGGGAGCTCAGGCAAACTCCATTTTCCAAGGCGTTCGGTGTGCTCAGGTATTATATCTGTTTTGTATGCACATACCCAATACAGTTTGTCTGCACACACACATGTAATTTGTTGTATTTGTCGTTGAATATACAGTTCGGTGTCCTCGACTGCATTCTCCAAGTGGTGCAGCCACTCTCCCCCTCCTCTGAGTGGCCTCTCCCCCACAGCATGGTAAATGCACGCCCCCAAGCTTCCTGTGGCTTCACTTGCTGCTGCGATGGCTTGGTTTCCATATGAGTAGATAGTAACATGATAGACTTTTTATTTTTATCAGTTGAGTCAAACTGTTATTTGGTTTTAAGAAGATTTCTGGGGATAATTTTTTGGCTCAAGGTTTAAAGATCCTCTCAGGGTAAATCATTTCAGGGGTTCATCAAGCCTCCGTGGATCCTGAAAAATGTATTCCATGAAATTTTACAGTTCCGTTCTGCATCCCCCCCACTCCCTTTTGATCTGGGCTGTTTTATAGAATCTTTGATCAAAATGTTCAGTAATTGAAGCCAAGGAGGTTAGACTATCTTAAATTCTCCCAATGTATTGTGAACATGGGAATCAGTTTCCTACTCTAATGAGCGTTTCCTCCTCTCCTCTTCTTGTACCTACCTTGTGACCCTTTAGAGAAGGACTTCACTCTGTAACCCGGATTTGTGGCCCTTCCAGGGACACAATGGCATTTTTCCCCCTACCACCTCATGACAGGGTCCCAAGGTTTGCTGGAGGAGAGAGTGAAGCACATTCTGGCCCACCAGGCCTTGAGGAGGATGTTCCGGATTAGAGCAGCCAGTCCACAGAGAGGACCACATGGCTGGCCCCACTATGAGACATGATGTCCCTCACTGACCCATAGCCCTACA